GGGAATCGAACCCGGGTCCTCTGCAAGAGCAGTCAGTGCTCTTAACCACTGAGCCATCTCTGCAGCCCCTCAAACAGAACTTTTAAAAATCAAACACAATACAGTCCAAAGAGGAGTTACTAGTTTGATACTTATGTGCGGAGGAACAGATACTAGGAAAATAATTAAAAGTTAAAAGTTGGGGCTGGAGAGATGGCTCAGTAGTTAAGGGCACTGACTGCTCTTGCAGAGGACCCAGATTCGATTCCCAGCACCCACATGGTGGCTACGAACTGTCCTTAACTCCAGTTCCAGGGGGTTCCGAAGCCCTCTTCTGACCTCTGGGGCATTGCACAACATGTGTGCGCTCACATACATGCAGGCAATACACTCATACACATTTTTTAAAAAAATTAAAAGTCTTAGCTTTCCTTAAAAGGGAAAAATTTTTATATGTACTGTTTTAAAAAAACACTGCAATTCATCACATACAGCAGTCTTAAATCTAAACTAAGATGCTTTAGGCAGTGTTTGATTGTGTGGTGGGCATGTCCTCATACACAGTGCAAAGTACACGTGTTGTGTATTCAGAACCAAGACTGCAGTGATGTCATGTGATGTAACACCAGCGAGTGCTACCAGAAACACCTTGGATTCATTATTGTATTTGATTTTTAATTAACTTTTAAGCATCACACATTCAAAATTCTACTGTTGCCATTTTTTGTGACATTATGGAGTTACAACTCACAGTTCAAGAAACTATATGCTAGTCTACCAACCTGCTACCCTTTTGGGGGGAAAAGTTATTCTTAGTCTGATTTTTAAATCTAAATTAATTAGTCTGTATACTTTATATAGAGATACATCTGCAGAGATGTCTTATAACAGAATGTAATAGATTGAAGACTAGAGAGAAATAATAGATTTGTAGACTATGAGATCTTGCAATTATTGTAGTACCATCTTGGTTCTAATTGACTAAGCAAAATTATTCCTGTTTTGTTTCTCTCTCTCTCTCTCTCTCTCTCTCTCTCTCTCTCTGAATATATGTATCCATGTTTGCATTGTGGGGATTCATGTGTCATGTTTGCTTGCTACTTTATTTACTGAGGCCGAGCCTCCAGCTGAACTGGAGCTCTCTGAC